CTGCCCATCATTCCTCTGTCTTCCATTTTATTTCCATGCTATACAAAGACACCTGTCATAGCATTCTGTGTAAATTACTACCTCTCCTAGGACCTGTATCTACAGCCAATCTTCTCTCACACTTAAAAAAAAAAAAAAAAAAAAAAAAAAAAGGGGGGGGGGGGGGGGGGGGGGGGGGGAAGAAAAAAACCCCAAACCCAAAACCCGGAAACTAAATGACTACTGTAGACACTTTTAAGTTCCCTGTCAATCGTTTCATTACAGCAGCATCATCTGTTTGAAAATATAAGCAATTCCCTCATCTAATTATAGGGAGGATTTGAGGTTCATTAACATTGCCAAGGCAGAGAATCAGATGTGCAACTGCAGAGCTGTGCTCAGTGGCCTGCATTCTCTGTTTCCTTTTATTTGCTTTTTCAAGGTCTCCAAGACTTTTTCCTGAAACCATAAAAGTAATTCTTTCCCTTAAAATAGACATGTGTGTTTAGAAAAAGGAAATTACTGCATTTTGTACTGTTCTATTATTGGGCAAGGTCACCGGAGAAAAATAATTTCACCTAAATCATTTTATCTCTGATTCTGGATGAAAAAAAAGAATAGTATACAAGCAAGCATTACTTTTGAACAACACATCACAGGAAGCCGTATACTTGTCTCATAATTTTAAATATTGCAAGGTAATGCTGATGAAGAGGAAATCTAACATGCCAAGAGGATCTCTTAATTTTCAACACATTTTGTTGTTGTTTATGGATTAACATGCTAGCCAAGTGTAAAATGTTGCCTTGTATTTCCTAACTGTGTTTAGAAATTAAGAACACCAAAGTCTTCATGATTGCTTCACTTCCTTAAAGAAATAATAGCATTTTTTTTTGTATGAATGTAGTTTAAACAATGACATTTTCTTGGGACATCTGTTTTGAGATCACATTTTGAATAGATATGAACTCATTTCCTACTAAGCAAGTAATTTACTATTGTTGATAGTTGTTTACAAGTTTTATGAGTCATATTTTAGCAAGTGGCAAAGGTCTTAACAAATCCTTTGAGTATTCCCTGAAGTGTATGCATAGTGTTTTCATTATATAAAATGTTCGGGAAGCAAAAGTATACGGACTGTTCTTCACTTCCTACCAAGTTATAGATAGCAAAGTCTAGCTCACAAAAATAGCTTTTAAAAGGTATTTATTTCCAAAGGCTTTTATCTTTTGCTGCTGCAGGTTAATGAAGTAGGACAGCAGGGCAGTAAGTACTTAAGCAGCGAGGAAACGATTGAGCTGCTTTACCTATCCATTGCTTCAGAGCATCGGATGGTAAACACACAACTGATCCTAATATCACACTAAGATGTTAATAGCACAAAGAGAAGAACCTCGTCAGTGAAATGTAAAATTTGACCTTGAAACTCTTTCTTTTCATTCTGCAATTAATTAAAAACAAAACAAAACAAAACCAAAAAAGAACAAACAAAAAAAAACATATCCTCAACACACAGCATAATCTTTCTTTTTCCTTTGCTGCCCTACGGAATTCATTTTTTAAACAAAACCCCAATAATTTATCTACCCTGCATGTTGTATGTAGAATTGCCACTAAAAAGAACCCAGGACATTTTTCCTTCTTATCTGCAATGTAGCTCATATCAGCCAAGCTGTCACAAGACAGTACTTGATATAAACAAGAGATTGCAAAGACATCTCAGTAATCAATATTAGGATGGCTACAGTATGGAAGCCCCAACCACTGCATATCATTTGTCTCAGCATCTATTTCTATGACCAAATGAAGCATTAATTCAAATCATAAATCTATGGTGATTTAAATCTGGGAATGAGCACCTGCCTGCTTTAATGATTTATTTTGTACATTTCAGTAAGCAGGAGATTTGTCCATATGAACTGACAGGTCACCTTCAGATGCCAGTAGCAGACTGTTTATCACCATGCAGACTAGCATCTCATCTTAGCAAGTAAATATTAAACTAAAAGAATCCAATTGATTGTGGATGGGGGAGAAAGGCGTTGCAGCCATATATTTTACTCAGTGTGCTAATACCTCACTCTGATTCCTCTGTAATTTCTTTTTTTTTTTTTCTTTTTTCTCCCCCCTTCTAAAATGATAATTCTGGTGGGAGGATGCAAGCTCAAGGTTACCAGCAAAACTGAGAGATATAAAATAATTACTTATTAGTATCACTGGCTTCCTTTAACTCCCTTCACTCACTAACCTTTTGGTCATTGCTTCAAAAGATCAAGCTAATAAATTTGTAGTACTCTGTATAATTATACAATGTTCAACTACAAGAATTACTTCTGTAATTCACATTAAGCATTTGACTAAAACCAAAAAGCAAGACAATTTGGAAGTAAACCTGACAAGTCGATAAAATGAATAAAATAAAGGTCCTTATTTTATTTATCTGCCTTTATGTAGGCATTGGAGCACAGGATGATCGATCCACACACACCATAATGCCTGCTACATATGGGCTAAGATGAATCAGTTAAGCCCTTAGCCTGGTTGCATCGTTTGTTCCTTTTCCTGCCTTTTGGTCAGGCACATAACCTAATTTAAAATGTGAACTAAAATCAGGTTGTTTTCTTTTGTTTCATTCTTTCCTCCTGTCAACATTCAGTAATGTAATATGTCATATTCTTGCCTAGCAAGCTATAATTTAAAATATTAATGGTATAGAGACTTGATAATATTTATTTGAAAATACATAAATAAACACACTCCTGAAAAAATGCAGTTGAAGAAAGAGTACACACCTACTACAAAGCAACACTTTGAAATACGAGTTCTTGTCAAGATAATACAGTGTACTAATTTTCAAAAATGCAACTAATAAACAAAGAACTTAACTCTTCATGAACCCAATAATATCCTGACATTACTAGCAGTAGGAGTCACCTCTCTGATTCCGTATGCATGACTAGAACTGGACATTAGACATAGTTCACTATAAAAATAAACAAAAGCCATTTGCTGTTGAGAAATCCTCCATATGAAGGGTGCAGCTCAAGACAAGATGCACAGACAAGAAAACTGTATTTTCAGAACCATTCTTCATGTAACGGAGACAACTGGAAAGCTATTCACTCTACTCAGAAGAGCCATTTTTTTCTGAACAAAATTAACTCAATTCTTCATTCAGTTAAATTGGGAAATTAACTGAAGCTAACAAGTAAGTTAAGGGGCTGAGAGGAAATTTTGACAATGACAATAAATAATCTTGCTTCGCTAAGTTTGCCCTACTAAAATAGCTAGAATGTATTTTCTTAAATAGGGAAAATGATTAGGCTGTCTAAAAGCATATTAGTTATCTAAATTATGCCTAAAATAAGGATTTCAAAATAGATATTTTTCTTTTTTATTCAGAGGAAGTTCAGATAGTCCTTCGATCCACACTCCTAAAAATACTGAGTGGTTTAGATGTTGATTACTTGTTAACTTTTCCATCCCCATGGAAGCACATGTGGTTTATAACTAGAACTGCCAAGCAGAATAGCAGCTCCACAAACCAATATTTGAACTTTTTATTTCACATAATGGATTAATCTAAACCTGAAAATCTAAATTAGCTTCTAGTTCTAGTACATACTCTTTATCTTCTCAGTTTGTATTTACACTTGTCACCCTTTCTCATTACTTCACCTTTCTCTCAGTGCACTAGAGGCCACCTGGTCCTTCCACCTCATTTGTACCTATCTCCTCCTCCTAGATTGCAAAGACACCTGCTCTCTACCCTCTCTTGTTTTGTCTCCAAGAAAACAATCTTTACACTTGTATTCAAGTAACTGCGTATGTTGGTATCTGAGAACTCACAATTTAAGACTATTTTGTTCACCATCATTTATTTAAGAGGAAAACAAAACCAATCACATAATCTCCTTATGCAGTAATTCATACATATTGTTACTATTTGCAATAGGATGTGCCCAGGTGAACCTGTTCTTTGAACTCCAATTCATATTATTTCTAAATAATATCCTACCAATGCCTACTGAACTGCACAGAAACACTGTTCACAAACATGTATTTATTTATGTTAAGGCTAGTACATACCCTCTAAGATTCATTCCAAATGTATTTAGAAGATGAAAAACTAAAAGAAAAATATATAGACAAAGGGGCAAAATAAAAACAAAAAAGCCTATCTGAGGCCACTTTATTCCACTGTACACCAATCCTCCCTGCAGTTTTCTGAACGTACCTCTCTGTCATTGAATTTCTGTTGCTGAGTTAATACTGTCTCAACATGATAAAAGGATCCAATACAATGAAATGGCATAACAAAACATTTTACAGCAGACACACACAGATGATTAAAGATTTAATCAACAACAACAAAAAGTTATCCTAGCTTTGAAGTATGCTTTAGCAAAACAAATTGTCCAAACAAATGAATAAAGTATACTGAAACAATTCTTTTTTGAAAAAGAACAAGAGCTGCTGATGGCTGCTTAAGAAATGGAAAAAAATGTTAACTACATTTTAAGAACGTGTTTATTAAAATAAAATATGATAGGAATTGCAGAGCATGGCAGAATTTATTGTGTATGTATGTTTTCCTTTTGTCACAGGGCACATGAAAGTATGAAATATTTTGCTTTCAAGCTTGTGCTCTGAATTACCTAAAGTCAATACCCAGCACACTGAGCAGGAGACATTGTTAAATTTCACTTTGACACCATCATCTGTCACTCCACCTGTACTTTGAAAAATGAACTCTAAGCAATCAAACCACTTTCTTTCATGGAAAATATTAACTGGAGTCTGCAAAAGTAGCCTGCAAAGAAAAGAATGTTTTTGTAATAGTAACAACACTGAACGCTGGTGTAAAGGTCAGGTACAAAATAAAGCATTAAGAAAAGGAAAACAAATATGCAACTTTTTACACCAAATCAATGACTTCGGAAGGAAGTTCAGAAAGATCACCATTTTAATAAAATATCTTAGTATTAGGGACATATAATAATGCTATGTCTGAAACTTACCAACGCTTGAATTCAGATCTCCATTTTCAGAGTCTGCTCCATGCTGGTTATTATTTGCATGATAGTTGGACATAGCTTCCAATTTGATTTTTTTCACTTTCATTGCTTCTGCTATGGCAGCATTGGTGGCAGCTGCTGCTGCTGCAGCTGCTGCTGTCAGACCTGCAAAGAAGTATGAAAAAATTTAATATTCATTATTCTATGAGTCTCCATTATTGTAGGGACTGTTATTATTCCTTCATGCTTGTTACATAAGAACAGAGAGCACTGCAGAGTATTATTTCTCTTGTTGGTTTTGAAAACTATCAACTTTTTCAAGTAAAATGTTTCGCATTGTATTTAGGTAAGCGCTCCTATACATTAATCTAAACTTTAACTTGGTATCTAGTAAGTGCATTCATAATAGAATCACAACTAGATGCAGCTACAAAGACATGCAGTCAAAATTCTAATTTAGCTTCAAAATGGTGTCCTGAGTGTCTGACTATGAATACATGAATATGTACATAGCCATACTTAGGAAAAAGATTCCCATTAGATCTCTAATGTTAGACATGCTAAAGAAAACAGAAAAAAACAGGTCTATAATTTCTATTTATGAGTAACAGACGATAGAACTCAGACATTTCTCGTTTCATGCATAACAGCAAGGAGATGTAGTTGTTCTAGGAAGCATATTAAAAAAAAAAAAAAAAAAAAAAGCAGAATATTATTTTGCTCTCTCCAGACTTGAAGGCAGCAAAGTATTTATCAATGAGAAGAGGAATTATTAACCCACTTAATACCAATCCCAAAGCCACCTACAGGCAACTCAAGTGTTCTTCCTACCAAACCAAGTTTCTGCCATCCAGCCATTTATAAGAAGCCAGGAAAAATTCTCTTTGTCAGGAGCAATTGGAGAACTGGTCCAGTTCTCCAGTTGCCTTCAAAACTCAGAATTAGATGCAGCCATTAATCAAAGTCATAGGCATCAGTTTTTGCCCTCTTCTCTGAGGTAGGGTAATTTTCCTATGGTCCGCAAGTCCTGCTGTTGCCCACTCTGATACCTCTGCCCCAGCCTGGGGGACAGCAGAGAGAAGCCAGTGTCGAAATTTCACAAGAGCTGCCTCCCCCACACAACTGATGCAGGGGGCAGAGTTGGAAATGAAAGGGAACTAAACCTAAGATATAAAAGAGAAGGCAATAAAGCAGGTAAGTTTAATGCATTGATGCACTCTCAGTCCCCAGCCTGTGATGATGCCACATGAAGAGAACAGACCCACAGTCATTTTGAATCAAGATTTTTGCCCTGAATGTGGAGAAGGCTTGAAAAACTCCACGTAATTAGTTTAAAGGTTCCTGCTCGTCTGATTTTCAGCTACTCTGAGAGGTGTGAAGTGTCTTATGGATCTCAAGAGGAACTAACTCCACAATTTACTATTCTAAGGCTGCTGTCTAGCATAGGAAGAGTGCAATTTAGCAGGAAAGACCAATAAGCAAATAATCCCAGTCCACTGAGGTAAATACTGCTAGCACCATTGCTTCCCAGGGTCTCTTGTTGTCTCCTTTGACTCCTTACATGGAAAACAAGTTCACTTTTGCCATGTTTTTGGCTAGTGATGGGGAGGGACAGAAGGCAAATTCCAGCAGGGAAAAAAGCAGAAGGTGAGCAGGTATCAGGAAATCTATGAGGTGGCATAAGAGGTGCCTTTGAATATATTGTTGCTTGACTGAAGGTTGTTTTCCCTTATTGCTTTGCATGACCATATAAATATTAGCAAACAGCCCCAGACTCCCAACCCTCCTCACAGGCTGACATCTAACACCTCCAAGTGTAATGAGAATTACTGACCAAGTGACAATTACAGATCAAAATGCCTTAGAAAAGTCCTGTTTCAGGTAGAAGACGTACCAAAAGCCAAAAATAATTGAGAATGTGCATAAATACAAGGGTTTGCTTTTATTTTAGCTTCTGCTACTATCACAAATTGGGCATGTTCTGATCTTAAAAAGGTATTGACAATAACATGGACTGCTTCCAATTGTATTTTTACCTTAGAGGAAGGATATGAAGCCATACATTAAATAAATTTGGTTACAGTTCCTAAATTTGGCCATAGAAAAAGGGATGGTGCACCTCTGAACTTTGGTTTGCATCCGGTGCTCATTAAACAACACAATAACCTATACTTCCTTTTTAAATATATATATATATACATCCCTGAAAAGCTAAAACTAGCATTTTTAAAGAACAATTCTTTGGAGTAATATTCTGGTATATTATATTCAATGACTACAACACCAGGCCTCAAATTTTTGGTTGTGACTACACTTTTAGACCAGCAGTTCTAAAGTGCTTCCAGGTATTGGGATAAATGACATACTAACAAGATGCTGGACATAGGACTTGTGAGCCCATCTACAATTATTTTGTTTCACTGGGATAATGATCTGGATGCAGACCTCCTGAAATAAAAACTCTCTTTTGCTGCAAAATTTGCCAAAAAAGATTATGGTTTGGTGTATCTCTTTGGATGGGGACTGAGAAACTAAAATACAAATTGCTTAGTTCTGTAGTATGATTTTTGCAAGATAATGATTGTGGTAAAAAATGCTAATTTCAAAAAATAGAAATTAAACTACTAATTTCATTTCTTCTCTTATACAATCAGAGAAGTGACTGAAATGATTACTTTGCTATACAGCAATTAATGGAAACCATACAAATCTGAAATGTGTGTCTCGTTTAAATACTGGTGTAAGTAAGGAGGGAGATGGAAGGAATAGTGCTCAGAATTCTAGCTTAATTCTGGTCCTCGCAGCAATTCCCACCTGCATCACAGTTTCTCCTTTACTGCTACTTTTTCCTATCGCCTGGCTGTGAGGATACAGCAAAGCAAGTGGCAAGGGAGGCCCAAAGCCAGTTATCAGAGCCACCTGCTTTATAATCACTGGTGTGCTCTAGTGTACTGGGGTGTGGTACAACCCAGAACTTCAGCACAGGGCCCAGTTTATCCTTCTTACCTCAATAGTGTAGGCAGGCAAATATATTATACTCACAAGTTAATACACTACTATGTATCTATATGTATATTTTAAAATACTAAGTTTTAAAGTCACAGTATGGATATATACCCAGGGAAACACTTGGGATTTTAAAAAACTTTATTCTTTCAAAAAGCCTTTTGAGGTAAATATTATTTAATATCAATTAACCCTTACAATAAGTAGCCAAGGAATTTCCAAGGTGCACACTTCTCTACACTACAGAAATGTTATCTTCAAAAATGAGATAACCAAATGCAACTTACAAAGTCAACTGAAATGAAAGAAATAAGGATCACACTGAACAGCCATATAGGCTTTTTTTTTTATTCTTTACAAATATTTACTTGAACAGTTAAAAAGTATTCAGGCCAAAATATTCAGTGGATTAAAGTCAATGGTAGTTGTCATTAATATTCTGAAATTGATAAGTTGTTTATGTCTGGCATTCTTCCTGCTGATTATGCAGTGAGACAGGCAGCTTTATAAATATCTCATCACTCCATCGTCACACAAATTTCATCGACAGTGCTCATGCACAGCTATTAGCAATATGAATCTAACCATTACAAGAGGAATGAAAATCGAACATGTGGCATTAATACGCAGTCCTGGTTCCTAACCATCTGATAGGCAGATGGTGTAAAGCGGATTCTCCAGCTGAAATGAAGGGGCACATCATTTAAAACCTTGTTTGCATTCTAACTGATATCAGTGCCATATTGATATACATGATACATCATGGCAGTGTTTGAACAATCTAGTTTGTTTCAGTCATAAATGTTTACAGCCTTGTTTTTTATCTTTAGAAGCATGTTCTGAGGAGCGTATTTTTAATTTATGAAACCTATTGTTTACTTCTGTTGAACCAGAAGATTAGCAAAGAGCAGGAATATTAAATTACCACAACCACAGCAGTATAACTAAGATGGATGAATAAAGTATGGTTTTTCAATATGTTAGTAAAGGAATTAAAAAATTAGCCTAGACATTTTATGCATTAAATACATTTATTCATTTAAACCTTACAGCTTTTTTCCCATGTGACATACTTAGAACTTTAATGCTTTATAAAGCCATTCATTTAAATCTCTTACTGCGTGCAATTAATCTTGTCCAACAATTTAATTCAAAAAGCAAAACATCAGAAAGTAAAGTTCGATTCAACCACCACGCTTCTGAAGTAATCTCCGTATTGCTGACAGTTCCTATAGACTCATCAGCAAAAGTCTGTTCAAGGTGTCTTGCAGGAGCCGTATGAATTTGAATTACAGCTCAATTGAACGCTCGCCAAGCCCTAGTAGGAGCTCAGGAACAAGAAGCAGAACACCAAAAGAGAGAGAGAAGGATCCTTTCCTGCTAAGACCTTCTCTCTTCTGTCACTAGATTACTTTGGCCTGTTGGGTGTGTTTGTAGCTGTTAATTATGTTAATAAAGTTGCAGCCTGCTGTCTCTGCCAAATATAATCATAAGCTTTCTCCTGCCAAGTCCTAGTCTAATTTACACCCGTGCAACTCTACTGAAGTCAGAATTTCGTGGGTGAGAATGAGACCAGAAGTATGCCCAGTATGTGTGGTCTCTAACGCTGAAAAATGAGTGAACGAAACAGAAAACAATGACAAAACCCCCAGCATCTTCAGAAAACAATTCTGTTTTAAAAGCAAAGTCCCTGAGAGAGCTGTCATATATCATGACAGATTTTCAAAATGTACATGAATTACTGGTGGGCACTAAATCACATCCAGGGTTTCTGCCTTCCAACAAATAGTACTGCCTGCCTGACTTAAGAGAAAGCTCTAAAACTTTCAGTTTTGATGGGGTGAGCAGCTTACAATACACCCTATTTGTGAAACGAAATTGGAAAGGACCTGTGAGTGGAACTTTTTCAGCCTGAAATATGTCTCAAAACACACATTTTTTAATTGCATGCCTAAACCTCATCCTGGGACAAATTAACGAATTATTTAAATAATTGATCTTAATTCACTTTTAACTTCCTTCACATAATTATGCCTAAGAGAAATAACAATTCCTAATAGTAATTTCAATAATTTCCTTAATGCAACTATTAGCTTCATTTATATTTTATTTTATATATACATATATTTATGGGTACTTATAAAATTCAGTAATATGTA